ACCCACATCGCTGGCGCAGCATGACAAGCGCTCAGCATGCTGTGAAGCATCGCCGCCTCCAACCACCAGGTGTTCTCCTGCAGAAAGACTCGCGCATGCGCCGGTTGCAATCCAGGCAATTCCCAGCAGGGCTCCTGAGCTGAGCTCTGGACTGATGCTTGGCATTTTTGGAGCACTGATCCAACGGCAGAGAAGAGACATTTTCCAGGCTAGCTCTTCACACACCGTTTTTGGCGCGGAGTACGGTATCGGCAACTTCTTGACTTGCCCAGTCGCAAAACAGACACTGCAAGCATGTGAAAGTCCTGACCAGCTTCACAACACTGATCCCACCATCTGATCCTACATCACGTCCTAAGGAAGACTCTTGACCGACAAACCCCCCCAAAAAACATCCCTATTCTGCGGTTGATTTCGCCCTCTTCATCTGGGAGCTTGAAATATTATCAAGAGTCCAACAGTCTACACATGACCTCCTCGACCTGGCGGCGCTCCTCCTGGCATTCCACCGATCCCAAGCGCAAGCTGCTCAGCACCAGCCGCGCGGATCCGCGCGAGGCGTCCGCGGCCGTGAGCGCCAGTGCGGGTGCCAGGGCCCAGCGTGCCGCGTAGCGCGCGCGGCCGCGGGATCTGAGGCTTCGTTGGGTCGGTCGGATGTTTGAAGAAAGATGAACAAAAACTTCTACTGCTGAGTTTCTGGGTGTTCTTTTGGGCGGGTTTCTTGGACTTTTGTTGGGCTTCGGAAGATTAGAGTTCATGAGAGGCGGGGGACAGCTGTAGGGCCGTAGGGGTCCTTTCACGGCCACACCTTCCAGTTCAATTGCTAGATGCACATAGGAAGGAGAAAGCAAAGAAATTGGAAGGTACCAAACTTGCTTCTTCCGAACTGCTCAGCAGACCCTGCGTCATCTTCTGTGGCATGTTGAACAGTAACAGCCTTTCCCATTCCGAAAGAGGGTCTCTAAGGGAGCTGTCTTTTTTCTCAACACGTCGTCTGGAAGGCCGAGCGAAGTCTTCTCCAACTGGCACCGATGGCCGCCCTGTGTTCACAGAGATTCTTGCAAAAAGGGGTCCCCCAAGGACCGACGGTGTGGAAAGATATCTGGGGATCCTCTATCGCCAGGTCCGGTCTATTCATCCAGGCTGGAGAAAAAGTGTCATGCCATCGAACGAAAGGTCAAAGGAATTGAGTCCGAGGACTTGCCTCCGAGCCTTGTCCTTGTGAAGGCCTGTCTCATCGACCCTGTAACCTCCCGGGCTTGGTCGGGGTCCCGGTCGGCTTGGCTCAGGAGGTATGAAGGAACGGGGTCCACTCCGATGGAAGTCTTCCAACCAACTTCCGTCTCTTGACTTCAGCTACGAATCATCTTTTGCCGTTCGTCTTCCACTCGACCACGTGCCCGATCGACGTGACTCGACTCGACGTGACTTGGAAAAAGGAGGTGCCCGGGCTGCCGAGTGTTCTCGGGGAGGTACTCGTAGAGCACACCAGGGTCTTCTTGCCACAAGAAGAGTCGACCCACCTGCTCCACGGCCAGAAATCCACTGCAGCTACAGCTACAGGTGATTTAGCTGCATGAAATCAGACATGGCCATCGACCTAAGAATGAACTTATCCATCTCAAGGGACCTTCCATGTCACGTCTGCTGTGGAAAAGTTATGAAAACTCTAGCCTTCCAAGACCCTTTTGAATGGTTGACCTCGTTTAGTGTAAAATCCTTAACAAAACATAGTAAAACCATTAATATAGTACGCCAATTTATTATAGAAGATATTAAAACATTTTTTCAAATAGAAGTCTGCATATTCCTCCCGTGGCAGGGTTCCGGGACAAATAGAAGAAAGGCGTCAAGATAACAGGTTGATAAACGTGCTCACCAACAGGTCTTCAAATAGAAGAAATAATATTTTTGGCACAAAATGCACATGAGCCGCCCGCTCTCTTTCCCTTGCGCTCTCACTCTTTCTCGCTCTCTCCCTCCCTCCCTCCCTCCCTCCCTGGAGAAGAGAAAGTTCTGCAAGGAAGCTCCCGGTGAACCAGCTCACAGCGCCGGGCCGAGCGATGGACCCGTTAAGGGGAATAGACACAGAGAGCGCAGCCCTCCAAAAAGGTTAAAAAAAATGCGTTAAAATTGGCGCGTTTTTTTTGAGCTCAGAGACGTCACCGGGTCGCATCCCGACCCGACAGAGACCCGACAGAGACTTGTTTGAAGAAAAAATTGTAAAAATTGAGTACAATTTTTAGAAAATGGAGGAGAAAAAGTGTAGAAAAAGACAAGTGGCCTGGAAGAGCCTTTTTTGAGCTTGAAAAGGTGAACCCAGGCCACTTGCTAAAGAACCCCAAAAGTGTAGAAAAAGTAGCTAGTTATTTTTTAAAGTGTAGAAAAAAAGTGTAAAAAGTCGCCAGTTCCTGTCTCCTTTCTCCTTTCGCCCTGGAAGACCAGGGCCTTCCCTTCCCTTTCCACCTTTCCTTCCTTCTCTTTACCTTTACCTTCCTGTCCTTTACCTCCTTCCCCCTTCCCCCTTCTCAGATTCTCCCTTCCCTTCTGCTTCTCCCCCTGCCTTCCTCCTTCCCCCTTTCCCCACCCTTTCTCCTTTCCCTTCCCTTCTCTTCTTTGCTTTTTTTGTATCTTCTATTTGAAGTGGCTCGGGCCTGGAAGACCAGGTCCTTCCCCTTCCCTTTCCACCTTTCCTTCCTTCTCTTTACCTTTATCTTCCTTTCCTTTACCTCCTTCCCCCTTCCCCCTCCTCAGATTCTCC